AAGTCCCTCCCCCGGAGTCGAGATACTTTTGTACGAAATGAACGAACAAGAATATCCGCTCGATCATGTCTTTTCATGGGAGTCAACGAAGTTGTGGAAACTTTGGTATCTACTTTATCGGGCGGTTTTTATGTAAGAGGTAATGACGATTGTCTGAATATATAAAATAACTTGCCAACATTAAATCACCTATTCTAAATTTTTAATGCCTGAAGAAACTTCGAATATCTTCTGAGCAGCAAGCTCAGAGAGCTGTACTACTTGATTTTCACTAGTAAATTCGAGATCAGCGATGCGATCATCACAAACAAGCAAGTCTTGTAACTTATGCCGAGCTTTCATATGTAACCAAATTGTGGTTATAGACACAAAATGACACAACAGGCAGAAAGGACTAAATTAGGCAACTGTAGAGGGCGCTAAGATTATTGATATCACTTCTCAAATTTAGCGCATTGACATCAGATTTAATGTGTAACATATTTTTAATAACCTTCTATCCAAGATTTTCTCCCTGTCAACCACAACCACATCATCAAAGTTACACAACCACATCAAGCTGTACTAATTGTTTTTAAAAATGTGTTGTTTCGGCGGGGTACAGAATTAAAATAGTAAATATGTATTAAACCAATTGAAAAATTAAAGAAAAATATAATAACGTAACGTAAAAAATTATTATTCAGAAATCGTGAGATACGGTCTGGTGTGATGTAGGTTTCAGAAAAACATTTTCTTTATCGTACCAACGTTTCGATCTTTATTGAGATCATCTTCAGGGCCTGGGATTTACAAACATTGTTTAAATTTAACAAAAACATGTAGGATATGAAAAAAGTGAATTTATACAATACAAAAAATATTTTATTTTATTTTATACTCAATCACAGTATTTCTACTCACTCAACGTATTTGTTTCCTGTGTAATTGTGCCATTCTTGCATGTCGCGTTGAGAGTGCCAGTGAGATATTGCTTGAAAGAAGTCGGTACAGAAAGACATTTTTGTATAAGGATTGGCTTCTTTGAAGTGAAAAGAGCCGACGATGGGCAAAAACGTTGGTAATGGTTCGGCCAGATTATCCTTTCAGAATTATATAGACGGGATAAATAGGAAAAGGAAAGCTAAATTGTTCAAAAATTAGACTATGTAAAAATGTTTGATGTGTGGAATGTGATGAATGTTTTATATGTTATATGTTTGTGTGATGTGATGACATATGTATGATGTGCTACTGAGTTTACATGTGTCTGTTCTGTAATTGATGTAAACCATTTCTAAAAAGTCACGTTTATGTTTGTTTTCTTCTGTGTGTAATATTTTTGGATTGTTGAAGTCGAAATTGTGTTTCTGTTCAAAATGGTAAGTAGCAAGTGCTGTAGGATTTTGCTTGGGTTTTGAAAAAAAACGGATGGGTAAAAAATTATAAAGAAACGGATGGATGAAAGAATAAGGGAACCTAACCTTCTGGCTCTAAATAGCGTCGAAGAGATACAATACTTCGGGCCCGAATCATACTGTTCCATTTATTGCTTCGCTGTGATATACTGAAGAGGTGATTTGAGAGAGAAAGATATATATATATATATATATATATAGAAAGAGAGAGAGAGAGAAATTCGGAGAAAGAGAAAGAGGTAGGTAGAGTATCGAGAGAATAGCTCACACTGGGAACACGTAAGAGCAACAGCCACGAGAGACCGAATACGAATCTCTTCCGGTCCGGGCGAGACTTATTTTCATGTACTAGTATACTATTGTAAAATTAAAATATGGTTTGACAGTGCCCAATTTCTCCATCGTAAACTGGAACAAAAATGGTGTGAGCATCGGAAGTAAACATTTGCATTATTTCCGTAGTAAGTTCATCATCGAAGGATTTTTGTACCGAAAAGACATTCAGCCCTCTGAAGGAAGGGTTAAACTAAAACTTAAGGGTTAAATTCACTACTGTCGTCGTGTAATGAATCTAGCTTTTCCTCAATGCCAACAAAATTTTCATAAATGTGCCACTAAAAGTGCACATTTTTGCATCTGCCTTTTTAAAGGTTTCGTATGGTATTGAATTTCTGCGAGTCATTTTTCCCTTTTTGCCTTCAAACAATTACAGGTTTGAGTTTCCTCCTTCGTTAATTAAAATGCCGCGTCACCCTGAACATTTTCTTTACCATCAGCCATTGTTAAAATAAGAAACAGAACACAAAAGACAAAAAGAAATTTTTGTTAAGAGCATAAGAAAAATGCGTAAGAATGAGAAAAACACAAAAAGAAAAACAAGGAAGATATTAAGCTTGGCCAACTTCGTAATTTGCGTTTTACCCTACCGGCTTTAAACCCTAGGTGAAATCAAACTGTACACATCTTGCCAAATATAATTATTGACTATGTTAACTAAATTTTAAGATACGGTGATTATATTGGTTGAAACGACAAGAACTAAAAACAATGGACACACCACAATGCCTATGTATATATACAGATTTAACACACAATTAAAAATAATTGAAAATGAAAAAGGTAACTGTAAAAAATTTCGGGACGTTTACACGTGTTAGTAATAAAATCTTTATGTGAATTTATAATTATTAGAAATAAAATGGTTCAGCTTTTCTACGACGGAAAGAAAAATTCGAGAAGTTACCTCGTTAAAACCTATACCGTTAAGAAAGAAAGTCTCTTGTGGTGTTTAATGGTTTTAATGTCCTAAGCCTTTCCGCACATTTACTTAATAAAGCCTGTTAATTACAAGTAATTTTTATCCTCCCTTTTACTCTCTAAAAAAGATAAAAGGATCATAATGGGGGGTTTTAATGATCTAGATTGTCGAAAGATCATGACGCTTTCATCAGCCGTTAAATTCACCAATTTACCATTAAATAACCCCATCGGAAGAAGGATTTCTGAAGAAAGGAAGATCGTACTTTCAAAATGGTAGGTGAAATGACGTCCATGACCGCTGCTACGAAAGTTTGCCATTCTCTTGATATCTCTTTCACCCCCTTCGTGAACTAAGTTTCCATTTTGTTAACAACTTTTTACGTCCGGTTTTACTTCCAAAGTCGTCCGACCATCCATCTGCAAACTCGCGTTAAAGACAGTGCTCTTTTAAACTAATTGTCGGTTACTTCGGTAATTAAATTTAGCTTGTGAAGAATATTTAAAAAATATTAAATTTTGGATCAAGCTGTTGATAAATAGGATTTTAAACAAAACTTAATTGTGCTGAGTTCTTATCAGTGCTAGTTGCTCGTTGTTGCTGAAACCAGTAACAACAAACGGCTCATGACAAAAGTATTAAATTGTTAGAAAAGTGATGTGTTTTTTTATTTAAGCCCTTATTAATTTCATAAATGTGGAGGTTTATCTGTTTTTACCAAAAACGCCACCAATGCCACCTTGAAAAATGGCAAAAAGGAGGGAAAATTCAAAGGATGGGGTTGAGATGGGAAGCTAGTCGAGGGATCGAGGTCACGATAGCTCAAGTGGTAGAGCAGCGGCTTACCTAGTCGAAGATCGTGGGTTCGAATCCCGCTCTTGACACTGACTTTTTTATCTCAACTAAAAACCTTAATTAATTGAAAAATATTAATTGGTCAAGCGGATCACGAAAACTAGTGAATTTACCAATAACGTTTTACGTTGTGCGTTGTTGTCTTTGTGTTATTGTTTGTATGTTCATGTGTCTTATTTTTCTTTTATTAGCAATTTGACAATCGGAGGGAAAAAAACGAGAGCAAAGCAAGTATTGAAAACTGGAAACAAAACATGAAAGAGTCAGTGGGAAAGAAACAGTAAGAAAAAAACGCAGAATATTCCGTTTCGTACGCAGAGGGCTAGTTGGCTTTGCCCATTGTATGCTTTTTGAGCCATAACATATATAAAAATATACTTTACAAAATATATTATCATATTTCTAGAAATTCTAATATTTCTTACAGCCAACACTTGTTTTATTGACAGACTCACGTAATTCATCACTGAATATGTTTTACTTTATTCTATTTATCTTCATATTTTATTTGAATAATTTTCAACTCACGTAAACGTATATGTAGAAAATATGAAGGTTGGGAATCAACTATAATTATTTTCTTGGTGCCAACAAAGAACTACGAGTTTTTGAGGAACCGTGAAGAAAAACTATTTCACGAATAATTCAGAAATGAAAACCGCTTAGTCCCGATATCTGTACTTAGGTCCAGCATGGCAAATTATTTGGCTCAGTTAATTCCAAGTATAAAACCCAATCACAAAAAAGGATTATCGATTAGTAATTAATGAAAGTTCATTTAGTTTACTTCCATCATCTCTAAGAAACGCTGTTCTTAGGCTTGCATGATCTAGTTTTTTCCACATAACTATTTTATTGATAACCTTAGCACCCTCTTGGTCACTGGATGAGGGTTTCCCATGGTTTTACGTCTGGTTTGAGCAACATTTTAGTTCGTGTTTTATTAGATGGTTAGTATTGGGAAGACGCTCTTTTTATCATCATTTCATTTTTAATCAAATTATAACCCGACTCTTTGTTCTTTTTAAGTGATTCAATTAATATTTTTATTTCATTAGCCGAACAAAAAAGACGGTTCTACATTATAAAGTTCAATTAGGGATCTAAATTATAAATGAAGGTCTTTCTTCCTTATTAATAAGGGGTTACTTAAAAAATGTATTACTCAAGTTCAGTAGTGTTCAGCAACCTCGGCAAATTGTACATCATTTTTAGGGAGGAAATCCAATTTATTATAAATTTTTGTCTGATTTGCGTAGTATCTGAGCTGTTTACCAGAACACAGTCATTTTCATGTAAAAATATTGAGATCGCGTTTTTATTTACGTAGTTTTAACAAAAATTAAAAAACTATTAATTGTGAAGCTATATTTACTTGAAGGAAAAATTAGATCATTTCATTGATGGCTCAATTTTGGAATAATGGTGTTTCTTAGTTGTAAACTTCGTGGTTCACAGTTGTTGAGTTTTTATTATTTTTTTATCAATTTGAATGATGAAGAAATAAAATTTAAATATTATGATAAGCCAACCTTTTTTTTTAGCTTATGGTAAGTTGAATTTATTGGAATGCCTTACAAAACGTCTTGAACGAAAGCCAAGGGGTAGAGAGAAGCAGATGATTTGTTGAACCAATATTGGTTATATCGGTATATTAGTTATCGCAATTCCGCTCGCTCACAAACAGGCAAAAACAAATGTTAAACTCCAAAAAATATATTTAGGTAAAAAAAAGCAAAAATGTAATTTCAGTCTTCCAGCAAATCAATGTACCTTTGCAACTGGCGGAATAACGGCAAGGAACCAATCCCTATTGGAAGAAAGTTGTTTAACATCAACCGATATCTTATAACAAATTTACACAGATGTTTAAGGGTTGGAGGGTTGGGAAGGTCCAATAGGCTTCGAAGTTCTTTACCCGGGTATGGGGTGGAACGGGCTACCAACCGCGCGATCGCCATCCGACCCGGAAGCGGGGGAAACTTGATCACGCGAAGTATCTGTAAAAAAAACCAATGTATTAGTGTAAATAATTAAAATTAAAAGAGTTGAAGAAAATGTATGTGTTTAAGGCCTGTCAATTTACAATTCATTTGAAACTTCCCTGGTTATGAATTACCAATAACATATAGAGTGAAAAGTTTCACGATTTCCCAAAATTTACGGCTATTTTACCACCGTTTAACAAACTTTTATCACACTTCTTTGCACTTTTGACTACCATAAAAATCAAAGCTTTTTTGGAATAAAATATATTTATTAAAAACCTAAGCCAGATGTTAAAAACCTCTTATGAAAATGAGGGGAAGCCGAAATACATCCATCAGTCTATGGATAGGTATATCAAAATGTTTTGAAACGACTAATCTAAAGCTCTATTTGTTCCCCTAAATAACTAGTACCCATAGTCACCCCTTCTTTCACATCGACCGGCAAGATCTGTTCTGAAATTAAACCTTTTCTATTTCCTACTATATTAAAGTATTGAGCACTTTCCTGGGTTATTTCCCTATGTGTTAGTATCTTCTTTTCGAAGAGGCTGTATTACGGCCTAATGCTTTGCCTAATAGTACGTACGGTTTTCATGACAGAATCGGTAGGTTTTTGTCCCAGTTTTACTCATTTTTTAGTTGGTAAATGAATGTATAAGTTGGTTGTTAAAAATCTTGAATTTGTAAAATAAGAGTTTTAAGTAAGTATATAGAAAAATTGGCATGTTGCAAACAATTATATTTAAGATTAATTTTCAGCAACAGCTAACAAAAATAAACAGCTAAGTTATTGGTTTTCTAACCTTAAAACTAAAAAAAAAATTCCTTTTTACAATAAAAAAGTATAATTAAAAAATAAACATTAATTCTTTCTCCATCCAAAAATAATTATAAATTAAAATTTAACTTTCTTATCTGATTAAGAACAAAAAAAGATTTCCTTCTTGTGAATAGTTATTTTTCTTTATCGCTCACCGTCCATAAATCCATGTCCTTATTTTTTGAGAGAAGTTTGCGGTACAGCGTTAGCGTAGGACTACTCTCCTCTTCTTTTTTTTTGTTGATTTTGTAGGTCCAGCACGGCAACGCTACTTGACAATGATGCTTTACACAAAAAATGAGCAATGAAAATTATAAAAGCCTATTATTTTTCTTAATTCCTGCTTGCTGAGTGTACATTTTTGTTTTTTGGTTGAGCTGATGAGGAACTTGTTTCTCCGCTTTTAGCATGCTTCTGCCTTTGCTTGTTGATCAGAGTTCATTGCCTTCTAGGCCCTCGTGACTGATTACGCTAACAGAGTTATCTGATTTCCCAGGAGCTGGAGATATGTTAGGCATTGCCAGGCCAGTTTTTAATTTAAAGTGGAAGATTTGAAAGCTTCCAGTGCTTCTTATTCTATTATATGAATTTCAGCTTGGAAAATTGACGGTCGTGCTTGGTTTTGATATAACTTTTATAACTATATATGTGTCTTTGACTCCAGCCCCCATGCCATCAATTAGATCAGTCAGTATACAGTAATATACCCGTTAGACGGCTTCACTGGAATGTAGGCTTATGGAATATATAAATTAATGTATAATTCATTAGAGTTCGGGGTCCGATTGACCGAGTAACGTTTTTCAATTAATTAATTTTTATGCAAGGTATTTTTATTGAGATAAAAAAGTCAATGTCACGAGCGAGATTCGAACCCACGACACTCGGCTAAATAGAGCAGCGGCGTATTTAGCTGAGGGTTGTGGGTTCGAAACCCGCGCGTGACAATGACTTTTTTATCCCAACCAATACCTTGCATAAAGATTAATTAAATTAATGTATAATATTGCACTTGTGTTTGTTAATAAACGCTTTTATTGTAATATTATTATACCAGAATGGTCCCTCTATAATTTTCAAGGTTTTTATTTTTTCAAACATCTCTTATTGTTATTTTTGTTTAGACGAGTGAGTTTAGACATCTAATTTTGAAGCCATCTTATTTCTATCCTTTTTAGGATCTTATGATGGTGTTTCGTTAGACCAGGTTTTATTTCATTTTGTCCTAATCTGCACTCTGGAAATGGTATGAAACGGTGGTAATTACACTACCATTTCCATTGCAGAATTTTGCAAGAATCCACTGCCCCTGAAATTCTAAAACATGCCAAATTTTGTAATTCCTTAAATTTATTTTGCCGCTTCTTTTAGAAGGTTTGTGGCCACCATACTAGGTGACCAACGGTCTAATTGTTGTTGTCCATCCAATAGGCTATTTTGAAATTTATACCCCATGTTTTACAACAAAATCATTAATCCATACTTGATATGGCATTCGCTTCTTATATTGTTTTGTTTATATGTTTCCTCCAGGTTACCTTTTCATAGTATTGTTATTCTAAGAGACTTCATTTTCGGAAGGAAGTAATATTTTATATATGAGAGTATAATCCAATTTAGTATAATGACCACAAAATTAATTAAGTCATTCATACAGCTTTTCGCAAAACATGCACAATTACCTTAAAAATAAATATAGTACAGAATGTATTTAAATCTTACTTGATATTCAAAAGCCAAATAATCTGTAAAAGTGACAGTTTTGCTAATTAATTTGATGACAGTTTTTATTCTTCTTGAATAGCTAGCTACTAACACCCTATAATTGCATATCTACATGGTTCAATTAGCGGACTTAAAAATGTAGCACACTAAAGTTTAAAATAAAAAGATGATTATCAGAAATTTAGAAATCATTGAAACTACTGAGGCCAAAGAAACAGTGATCCCAGAATCTGATTTAAATGAACTCAGATTTTGCAACCTAATAAAATTTATTATTTTCCCACCTTAACTATGGCAACTTATACCCCACGGGAAAAAGAAAAATAGGTTTTAGCTAAAAATAGCATAGCCTAATATTAGGGAGACAAGTTGAAGTTCTCCGAATGAAAATTAATTAGATTATTATTAATAATAATTATTCAGAATCGTGAGATGCAGTCTGGTGTGATGTAGGTTTCAGACAAACATTTTCTTTATCGTGCCAACGTTTCGATCTTTATTGAGCCCTGAAGGTGATCTCAATACGATTAAGAAAATGTTTTTCTGAAACCTACATCACACCAGACCGCATCTCACGATTTACCGTTTATTAATAACGGTCACTAATCACCACACATTTATAATAATGTTCATCAATTAGTAGAAAGCTTGTGTGGTTCAGCAGAACCTATGTATGTGTTTTATTTAGAAATAAAGTTGTTTGAAACAAGTAAACTGTTTAAGCAGGTAAACTAGTGAAAAGCGGTTTCCAAAAATAAAGTGTTGCAGTATATTGTCAAGGTTTATGTCCCGAATCTTCTGAGCTGTCCACTATAAAACACGAGGTCGTGTGTTAACACCGCGTTCGGGAAAATTGGCTTTTCCAATCGCCCTAGCTTTAAATTTTTATAAACAATGCCGACATTGTGACAAAAACCGTTTGCAGTGATTTTTCGACCGATTCAAAACGGGATATAGAACACCAAAACTATCATCTTCACTTTGCACATCACAGTTATTCCAGAGACTGGATTAAACTTATATTATTTTACTACTTGGATAGCTTTCCCAGGATTTAATGCCGTTCACGTAGGAATTACAAAGTGGAATTTTCGTATCGAATGAACACGCTCAGTATGCTGATTTTCCCGACTTTGTAATCGATATAAGTTTACCCTATGTTGTCACGTTGAATTTGGTCTTAAATTTCGATAGCGGATAAAGGTCAAAATTTGAAATGATTATGTTTAATTTTATCAAATTATCTATTAGGTTAGAGAGATATGAAATTTTTTTGCGATAAGACCGTTAACAGATACAACTATCATTGTAACAATCCCATTGTCCGTGCAGTCAATGTAGTCAATACCCCCCTCTCTCTCTCTCACTCTCNCTCTCTCTCTCTCTCTCTCTCTCTCTCTCTCTCTCTCTCTCTCTCTATTTTTCTATCTATATCTATCTACCTATCTCTACATTTATTTCTATCTGTATCTGTAACTCTATCTCTATCTCTCTTATCCTCTTTATTCTTATAATCATCACCATAAAATTATTTTGTTTGTAAGTTTTACAAATTTTCCTGAATTTAAGACCCAGGTCTGTATCCCCACTACCGTTATTGACAATATTTTCACAGCAGATATGAGAACATTTTGAAAGTATAAAATTCTTTTGGGTATTGAAGAAATTAGATGACCTTGATCAATGTGCAAACCAAAATTGTAAAAAAAATCACCTCCTTCGTTAAGATTCGAAATACATCCCTTTTATCTGGACTTTGAAACTGAAATTATAATTATTTAAAATATTAACGAAAATTTATAGTTATTATTTCAATCTTATAAAATTTATGAATTTAAAGTGGAAAAGATTTATCTAACACATTTATTCTATATCGGAATTGTAGCCGCTTAGCGTCCTGATGAGCAGGATATATTCGTTGAAATCATGAAAAAGAACTGAGTGTTTTTACCTTCATTTCGGCCTTATCCCTTAATAATATATAATAAAAAATATATATTTATTTATTTATCATTTTTGTTAGCTCTGAGCTTCCCAGATTACCTAAGGTTTAATTGTGAGTAAATAAATGATACAAGGGATTACACTCGCACAATAGCAAAGGTAGGATTAGACCCGCAGTGGCACTTACAATACCCCGATATCCTAACAGTCACAGATAGAGCCGTTCCTAAATAAAAATTCTCTACTTTAACAAAAACGTTGCAACATAATAGAAATTCCTTAAGAAAAAATTTGCAATTAATATAGTTTGTTAGGCCTGAATATGGATGGTATTTATAAATTTAAGTGGAATCGTGTACAAGATTATAGAGATGGAATTAACTATATATCATATGCAGTTAAAAGTGTATCATATGTCAAAGTAGGCACGAGTTGCACATGTCCTTAATATAAAATTGTTGGATTGGAAGTTAGTTGACATTACCTTCTGAGGATCCGCTCCATGTCGGAGAAAGAGATGAACGGCGGAGGTGGATCCCATATAAGCTGAAATGGCGGCTAGGGTCAGTCCTCCAACGGGAACGTCTATAAAACGAATTATGTCATTTCCGACTTCGTAGCAGCGATCGCCGACGACCGTCAAGAAGTACTCGGAGGACTCCTCGTCGTCCAGAAGACCGTACGCTGAACCGTCGTCTTTGAAAACCGTGTGCGAGAAGAGGCAGAGGAAGTTGCCTTTTATGGAAAACAGGACGTCCATGATGCTTCCTACGAGCTCCCGGTCGTGTATTTTAAGCTTGGCAAGGATGGTGAGGGCTATGTAGATGACTTCGGTACATCCGGTTTCCCTGTACGCTTGCAAGGCGCATCTTGCGGCCAAGGTCACTTTCCCCATGTCACCTTTGGCTATTGAAAATATCTTCTCTATCGCCGAAATCCTGTTCTTAGCCCTCCATTTGAACGAGTCTTCCTCCATTGAATCGGACAATAATGTATTGTGAAACATATACACGATAAATTTTGTAAGATTTTGGAACCCAAAAATTTTTATTTTTGACAAAAATTAACTTCTAGCACATGTTCTTGAATAAAAACAGACTATTTAACAATAAATAATGAAATTCAGTTATTAAAATTTTAATCGTGGATCACTACAAATGCTAATTATAATTTATATTGCAATACTGACATTTTATAAATATGCGGATAGTTGTAGGGCCAACAAACTACATTAGACTTCGCCAGCCCTCTCATTTTTTACTCTTATTTTTCTTTCCTTGTCCCATTTTATTCATACTAAATCATTTTTATGAGGCTGCAACTGCAGCATATTAAGTTAACAGTGTTTAACGTTTTGTAAACCTATTGCCAGCCTTTCTCACCTATTATCAGACGAGGATAAAATATAAATAATATAAAAACAAAACGCTTTATGGATAATACATTTAAACCATGGTAGCCTGGTAAAAATTCATACTTCTCCCGAGTACGTGATATTCCTCGAGATAACTGGGAAAAGCCCCTCCATTCACGCTAATAAGTAATACTTACACACCCGACATTATCCATACTGCCCAGAGTATTCGATATTCTTCGAAGTCGCTCCTTCCACGCTAATAAATTACGATTAGGGGCATCGGTGGCAGCAACAATTTGGGCGTTGACACGACAATCATTACTGTGAGGTAAAGATACCGGGTTCGAATCCAGCGGCCCTGCATTCGAACCCGACATACTGACAAATGGTCTTTGTAACACCGGCACCTTGAGGGTTATGTGATCTCTGCTGTTGAGATCCCTAGTAAAAAAGTAAAAATAAATTACGATTCCAATATAAATTGGCAATAGATTGATATAGAGTATGTTTTTTCTTTTTTAATAAATCGATGTCCTAATTCCAAACTGTTAAAAACTTAAAAAAATTACTGCTATATACTACATTACAGTCTCAACAACGTATTTTTAATTCTAATACATCAAGTAGTAAAATTATAATATTTGCTTGAATTCATGCAGTTATACAATTTAAAAAGACAAATACTTATAAAATCCTCCACTTTGAAGTGAAGTTACAAAATTCAACTGAGGTAAAATAGTTTTCTGTTCAAAACATCACATAAAATAAATTATAAAACAATTATTAATGCGAAACGTGAACTTGCGTTGCGTTCTGGGAAAAAGTGTCTGCGAACAAAATATCACAATTTCATGCCTGAGGCTTTATACTCCATTAGGTTTATAAAAACGATCTCCCCCGTGCCATAGTTTTTGTTATTTATGTTGTATAAAAAATATCTGCTTATTACCATAATATTTATAAAGAAAATTTATAATTATGTGTAATACACTCTTCTTTATAAAATATATATTGACTATATTTACTAATACACCAAATGAAAAACCGACATAATATACAGTAACGTACTTATTTTTATTAGGTTACGTAGTCCGCTTGACCAAATAAATTCTTTTCAATTAATTAAGGTTTTGGTTGAGATTAAAATGTCAGTATCACAAGCGGAATTCGAACCCACGACCTTCGGCTAAATACGCTGCTGCTCTACCACTTGAGCCATCGTGACTTCGATCCACTCGAACACTAACTTCCCATCTCAACCCCACCTTTTGAATTTTCCCTCCTTTTTGTCATTTTTGAAATGTCGTGTAATCTCTTTGATTCTCGGCGACAAATGGAATGGCCACGGTAAGCTTTAGTGAAGCTATACTTCATTTTGCTTATTACATTATTATTCATATTAGAAGGTAGAGCAACGGTGTATTTAGTGTTTTATTTTGTATGTGTTTGAGTTTTACCCCAACGTTAAGCGTTTTTTAAAAATTAGCTTAAACATTTTGGCCTCGTAAATTAAATTCTTCGAATTTGAATAGATTTCTTTAATACAAGAGTGTTTTAGAATTATAGCATCCCATTAGTTATTATGATGATCCTAATCATTCTATATTTTTTAGTCTTCTGTTTTAACCTTTCTGGTTGATACCGGACGGAAACAATGATCGGAAAATTGTTTGAGTCTGATATAAGTTATTTGTCAATAAACGATGGACAAATCATCAAAATGTATGTCTGGTACTATCCAGAAAATTCACAACTGTAATTACCATACTTATTAATTTCAATGTTGTTTCTAGATCAAGAAGTAGAAGACGAAGAGCAGGCTGCAATTAAAATACAAGCGGCGTTCAAAGGATATAAAGTCCGGAAAACAATGGCAGCTGAGCCTACTAAAGCCGAACTCGAAGCCGAATTCAGTGCGGATGATAAAGGTAAAAATTTATTTTTAAAACCTATGATTAATTTAATTTTTATCTTTTTTGAAGATTAAAACATATTATTCATATCAGGTAACACATGAAGTAGAAAAGAAAGCTTATTCCCTTATCCAGTAAAAAAAGGAGTGATAATAATAGATCCAAACGTTTATACTGAAAAAAAACTCGGGTGACCAGTACAACTTGGATGAAAGCCATTGAAAGCCATTAAAATGGGATTTACATTTAAACTCCTATACAAAAACAAAAAGAATTAGAAACGCGGTGCTTTCAGGTTAGCTTAACTCCTGTAATAACTATTTAAAATGCCAGCATAAATCCTTCCCGACAGTAAAAAAGGCGTACAAGAGGGACGTGAGTGGTTTTAAATGCAAAACTCAATCCTATTTCCTACTCGGGATACATGAAATGAAAGTATAATAATTATAAGTATAAGATAATTTCACTATAGGGGGAATAGTGAAATTATCAAGCGGACGACTAAAGTTGGCCCACAAGGTCCGAAAGGCAAGGAAGGGATCGTGCTAGCCCGTATGAGCATAGACCATACTCGAATGACAAACATGCCCGCTTTTGGGGCAAGCCTCGCTCAGGAGTCTCGCTTTTACAGAAAAGTTGCTCAATGTGTCTGTCATACTTGGTCGAACGGTGGCACGGCCCCTTATAGGGATTGAGTAGGCACGGCACCTGACATAAAGGCTTGGGCACGAGAGTGGTTTCCTTGGTCCCCTGTTCCAATTTTTAAGAAAAAACGAGGGTATTTCCCCATTTGTAAATATTGTAAACCTTACATATTTTTTGTAGCTATGGTATGTATGCATTTATTTGTGAGTGAATGAGTAAGTGAGAAAAAGGTGCTCTCAGTGCATTGGGAGCTGATATAACCCCATTGCCAATAGCCCACTATAAAAAAATTAATATATAAAATAAAAAACAGCAAATTATAATTAAATTAAAAGTGCAAGCTTACAGGCAAAGTAAAATAAAAAATATAAAAGAAAAATACATTTTAAAAAATTACCTGTATAATCGGGCGGCGATGACTGGACTAAAATCCAGGGTTGACGGTGGTGTAGACTGATGAAGGTTACGATGAAGACGGTGTGAGTGGTTTGGATTTGGAGCATCTGGCAATTGAACTTCGAGGTGAGTTGAGAAAAGCTTCCGCAGGTGGGCTACGACAATCAAATCTTTTTAACATTACCGGGTTTCGTGATACATTAATATCTATGCGAGTCAAGACAAGTTATGCACACATTTTAAAAATCTTAATGCCACAATTCCTATTTAATTCTTACTTATGATATTGCCAAAATCTTCTCTCTCTCTCTCTCTCTCTCTCTCTCTCTCTCTCTCTCTCTCTTTATTTATCTATCTATATCTATCTACCTATCTCTACATTTATTTCTATCTGTATCTCGATCTCTACCTTTATATCTATCTGTATCTGTATCTGAAACTCTATCTCTATCTCTCTTATCCTGTTTATTCTTATAATCATCACCATAAAATTATTTTGTTTGTAAGTTTTACAAATTTTCCGGAATTTAAGGAGGAATATCCTTTCGTTCCAATTCTCTCTCTCTCTCTCTCTCTCTCTCTCTCTCTCTCTCTCTCTCTCAGACACACACACACACACAAATAAAATTAGTTATATCATATAAAATTGTTGTTGTTTTAATGGTACATTTTATTTATACTTGTTTCTCTAAATTAATACGATATAAATTTGAATGGTCCTTAACATGTCTATAAGCGGGTTTAATAATTGGCCAATTTCGGTCGTCACGTGTCCGATTTGCATTTGTACGCGTCCATAGAGAATTAAATCTTCGCTCCTACCTGACTGGATTTGAATCGGATTTGAATCCTATTTTCAGGTCAATGTTTTGATTCGGCTCTCCTGCCCCTGCATTAATTCTGTTCGCATGTAAGTGCTGAAATTGAAAAACGTTTTTTTTTTTCAGAACATTTAAAACGTTTATTTGAAAAATTGCTTAATTCTCTCCTATAAAAAAATATTTTTTGTTGATATATTATTGAGTTATTTTTTAAAAAGTTGCAAGTTCGATAGATGCTCCCTGTTAACAACTATAACAAACTTTATAGTTTACATAATAATAGTGATACTTTGCTAATTAAATTTATCTATGGACAATTTTGTAATTAGTATTACCTAAACTAAATCTTTGGATTATATGGTTTCATTCACCTTTCATCCTCATTTATATAACTGATGTGCTTTTGCATCAGTTCTCTTGAACATATTAAATTATTCTCTGGATCAAGGTGGACTTTCTCCTTTCGGGAAAGTTGGACTTTTTGGTTCTTTGTTAAAACTATGTAAAAACAACACATAGAACTATCCTTTCCTTCCAATTCTCTCTCTCTCTCTCTCTCTCTCTCTCTCTCTCTCTCTCTCACTCCCCCCTTAACCTGAGGTCTCATCAGTTAAAAATTATCAAATTATCAAGCAGATATCTAAGCCATGTTCACATGTCGATAATTTTCCAATTCTGCCCTGTTGAAAGCTCAGGTTATGGAGCTGACAACGTTCTGCAAATAAAAGTGTTCTCACACCGACATGGATGTTCTATTATTCATCCCAATATTCTAGAAAAAAAGAAAACAGCAACAAAAACAGAAAAAAAAGTTACGTAATTTTTACTAATTAATTACTTAATATTACTTTTTGTAACTACTGTTTTATAATTCAGTTAATTTATATCAATTTCTATTTTTTGGAAATGTGTAATATCCGTTTATTCTTAATTTAGTCGTTGTCTAAATTTTGGTTTATTCACATAACTGCTTTATTCTTATGACTTTATTAAATTTATATGGCTTACAAGTAATGTAAGGGGGATACTTAAATATTGTTTTTTCCAAAATTATATGATAATTATTTAGTTATGAAAGTTTTCATGCTGATTTCAGATTACATTAGCAATACAGAAAATATCGAATAAATACCCGAAAAAATATGTTTTGAGCAGTAACTCATATACATTATTGACATGTAAGAATGAAATTTCTAGTGTTCATAATCAGCTTTTTTGTTTTTGTTTTTTAACGAGGGTTGCGAACCTTTCAGTGATGAGCCCGTGTCGACCCCTACAAATTTGCGGCCATCGACGCCTCTTATTTTAAAGTTATTATTAGATTAATATTAATAAGTTATTTATAATCTTCCAATTTAACGACTTTCTTCCAGATTATAATTATATTAATTACATAACTGTGCATCCACGGTTAAATAACGAGAAAGCATACAAGCGTTATGAACACTTGAAATATCGCCCGCTCGTTGTTAAATCGGCGTCAATTTCTCCTCATTAACGTATCTTATCAGCGTTGCCACTAATCGGTTAAACTCTATCTATCCTTCGTTGATTGGAAATAATCTCTGGAGTCAATGAATATCGCTGAAATCGTGGGTTTAAAGTCAATAGAAGTAAAAATCCATTTAGGACCGTGATTGTATTTGGCCCGGGACTCGCATAAAAATAGAAGAAAAGAAAAGCTTATTTGTAATGCTCTTCAAATATTTGCATTGCGACTTTCCTGAAACTCAGCGTTGAAGAAAAAGTGGACTGGATTTAAAATGGAATCCCCTCAGCTCGTTAACTAACGAAGCGTTTTACTTAATTAGAAAAAACAGCGAAGTTTCTTTTCTTTAACAAAAATCTATATATCCGCGAAAAAATCGTTGTTACCTAAAATTGACTAAGATAGATTAATTTAACAAATTTAATATAAAGAATCCGTTATTAATTAAAAATTATTTCGCAGTTTAAAAAAATCTGCCTTTTTTCACGATACCCTTCCCCCAAAACGAATACGCACAACATATTGTCTGGCAGAAAAAAATTCATTTTTGGCATATCATATTTAACATTGTAAAAGATAATATGCGCAGTACATATACCGAATACATGAAATACCCCATGTTTTACTTTAAATTAAATGTCAATTCGTTGAAAAATCAAGAACGATACATATACTAATTACCTAATTTAACAAAAGGTCGAAAAGAACTGACTACTGATTACATCCTACCAAGCATCACGACTTAATTCATAAACACAGGTGTTATCCATCGTTACAATTTTTATTTTAACATAAAATACTCTTTTTTTATAAGTTTAGCCAAAACTCCCAACATCAATGAAAGCTTTTCTTAAACTGTCGTTTATTAATAACTATGATCTTACTTGTTTCAGCAAAATACGACTTTATCTATTGTGATGGTAAAATCGAGTTGAATTATATACATTTAAGTGAGAGGAAACAGCTTTGTCAAATTATTGTGATAATTATTTATTTTACTTTTTATTTTAGAGTCTTAGGAAATTCCCCTTTTATCCTTAAAGTTGCTCCTGTTATAACCCACCTATGATAATGGTATTCCTAGAAGATTTTCGTTTCTTGGTAAAGATCAGACATTTTCTCAGGGGTATGATATCGAGGTGTTGGTTAAGAAAGATTTTCCTACATTCCATAACCTTTTTCTAGATGTTACATAGCTATTGCATAGGATTTCGGTTATCTATGTCTCTTCTATATCTACACATTGGTAGTATAACAATTTTCAATATAGCAAATGGTTAATAGGCCCATTTTTAATTGAAATTTTTCTAGTTCATTTCCTGTAAGTATACCTATTAGATATTTTAAGTCCTTTCTCACAAGTAAGATATCAACATTCTCACGAGTTGTTTTTGCGAATAGCCGTTTTGTCTCCTCACTGGCGCTTGTTCCCAATATTTGTTGCATTATTTTATAGCCCAAGGTTCCAGTTATTTTGTAATGTCGTTATAGTTTATTCCATAAAATGAATTCGGTCCTATGTATTGTTATAAATATTATTATTGGGTAGTGTGTCTGCTGCTTCTTGTTTGAAATTCACTCAAGACCTGGACCCATCTTAGCATTATGCTATTTGTAGATCCTTTCAAAGAATTCAGCTAGTTCCATACAAGTTATAAATTAAT